TATACAAAGAATCTTTTGAACTCTTAAAATTCGGATTATTTAATAAGCACATACCTTCAATAAAGTCAATTTCCTGAATGGCAGAACTTATTTTAGATTCAATTATGTTGCTTTTTAAACTTTGTTTAGGCATTTTATAAGTAGAAATTTCATTGAACTTAAAATGTAAACAATGAACAGCTGTTTGTGTAAAAATAAGCATATAACCATCAATAACCAAAAAAGGATTACGATCCTTTTTATTACAAATGTATTTCTACGAAAATTAAGATATTAACAAAAGAGAAAGATCCTTTTTTCCACAAACGTATTTCTGAGAAAAATAAGAATTCATATTTTTGGACTACTATATAAAAATTGTGACATAAATATACCAATTAAAATAATAAATTTAAAATGAGTAATATGAAATAATGAATAAGTTTTTTAAATTTTGGACTTCGGTCATTCCCAACCCAATTTTCATAATTTTTCTGTTAATTAATTATTAAACTAAATATTAATTTTTTGGAATAATGTTATTTTGAAAATGTACTTTATTTTTGTAACATAACCCAACATCTTGATACTCGCTCTTCTAAATTTCATATTACCGAAATGAAAATGCCGTCGGAATATGTGCAAATGGCCTGCCTCTTCGAAATTTTCATAGAAATGAAAACTGCGCCGTCAAACTGCTGAAGTGACACTTTATTGCTTACAATATATAGCAAATTAATTAAATAGGCACGGCAATACAGTTAGTAAGACATAGATTTTATCCTGTCGAGATGCCCCGTAAGAATGCAACCAATTTCAAACAAATAATTAGTGTTACCATGTTTTAAATAGTTGAATTTTTGAACATTAAATGCAAATATCTCAAAACCCATAAATAGGCGGCAACTATGCAAATATATAGTAGGGGAGCCTGGAGTGCTAAATTTGCAGTTACTGGAGCGTCATGGAGATTTCCTAGATTGTCAAGATAACGTTTAAAAAAAAAAAGAAAGTCCAAGTGAAGGTTTTCATTTTAGTAGGGAAAAGAGCGGGTAATTAATTTCAAAAAATACTCAAGCGCGTTAGTTATTTATGGTATATACGCGCATTGTATTTTTGATATATATTAATATGACAATCAATTCAAGGCGGAGGCCGTAATGAGAGGTTAAAAAAGTTACTCGACCGTGTCAGATTTTCAAAACTAATGTTAATGAACCTCGAGTATGAGGACGGTGTGAGAGAGTGAGAAATAAACAAAAGTGTCAAGCATCTACTGACAACAACCACGCTATGGTGATCAATACGCTTGACCTTTTGTCGACGATTTTTCCTGTATCGCCCCATGGAAACTGTCAGATTATAGGATTTTCGTGATTCTGACATAATTACCTTTAAAATGACGTTTTTTTTTTTACAGATTTGTGACCCTGCTATTTCTCTAAGTCACCCTCAAACTGTTCGAATATTGAAATATACACTCGTCTTCATGTATTTAATTTACCATCTCTTACCGTGCGATTCTGTACGGTGATACAGTATCAAATCTCTAAATTTGACAGAGACAATTTTTGAGACTTGAGACGATTTTGCTATTCTGTAAGTGACAGTCACAAAATCTATTACATTTCATTATTCAGAGATGTTTTTACACTTGAATGAAAATAAATATGTCGATAACAAGCAATAAATTTTCTATAACATAGTCAAAAAACATAATTATCAATAAAAACAAAAATATTTGTTGACTTTGTTTTATAATATTAACGAAATTTATTTAAAATTGATTTTTTTTAACATTTGCGTGTTTGAGTTGCTTACAAAATATATAAAAAACGACAATCGATTAATATCTATAATGATCTCTATTCAGTATATTCAAAATGGCAGACAAAAGTAGTTTTTGGGTTTGTGACTCAGAATATACAGTAATAAACCTTTGTTTTTTTTACATACATATACTCAACTCTAGAAAATCTTAGGGTGTTGTGTAACACTTTTTTGCTACTTTCATGGTAATCAGGGTGTTATGTTAGCATTTGAGCTACATATAAATTTTCAATTTTGATGATCAACACTTTAAAAGATATTAAGTAATGCAAGTGTTTACGTTATTTAAGTGATTATATTGAATTACTTTGAATATCTGTTCAATTTTATTGGAATATTACTTGTTATTTAATGTTAAATCAGTTATTATTTTTTGTGCAATTTTTAAACACTCTTCAAGTACTTCTAAATTTTGCATGCAGTAGTATACAATCCTGGGTCGTAATTTGTCGTTTGAAATATGTATACAAATTGACAATTCGTTAGCCGTTATAGGAAAACGTCAATTGGAAATTGAGTTTAAACAGAAAGATCTGTTGAAGTTTCTAATTAGTGTTATTAATAAAGTTTATATTAAAACCCATATAAGTGTAAGGAACCGAACACCTAAAAAAAGCCGGTAATGCACCTTATTGTAAACCTCAGGGGTGGTATGGAAAGTGCAAAACTTAAAGATTCAAAAATAAATTATTAAAAATATTTATAATGTTAATAAAATTCCTTTAATTTCGTTGGAATAAAGAGTATATGAGAAATACATATGCCAATACATTAAATAATTATATGTATACATTTATATGCTTTCACATACTTCTAAAGAAATAGATATTGTACCGTTTCTATCAGTTTAATCGTAAATAGTATACGGATGAAAATTAGAACGATGTATTAAAAATCCAGCTTCAAATGCCTCAATATCTTCTTTCTTCCTATTTCTATATTAAAATTATTGGTAATAATATTTCAAAAAGTTACGAATACAAACCGTTTTATGTTTTCTGTCTCTTAATTGTAAACAAATACATTCAGAAGAAAACTCACCACCGAGAAATCTAAGAACAAGGCTGCATTTTRTTAATRWGAACTTACTATATAAGGAATATCTGACTATCAGTAAATGATATTTTAATGGGCGAAACATGGCACACTATGGCGTTTAAATCAAATATTAGTAAATATATGCATTAATAAATAATTTCCTTTAATATTTAGCAACAATATTTATAGCTTTTGCTATTTATTAGAATAAATTTGCTAAGTACTTACTACCTCAATATATACAGCGCTGCGTTGCTACCTCTGAAAATCCAGGATGGCCGCTATTCACCCCTCAGAAAGCTACCACGAAAAGGTTATTTCCTGTATATACTGTGGTTTGTGACTTGCTAATTACCAGGTCTCAAATTTGAGGCAATATTTTAAGTCTAACGCTAGAGACTGTTTAGTGAATAGTAACTAGTCACAAATTGAGACTTTACCACAAAATGTCTCAAATAGAGACAAGAGACTGGTTACAGAATACCGCTATTAATCTGACGAACTCCCCCCAACGCACGCCTCCATCTTAAGGGCTCAATTGGTAGAGCTACATAAAAAGATGCATTGTTTCTTGTTATAAAATTTTCTGACACGCTTTAGCAACTGCAAAAACCCCTCTTGGGCAACCCTACTAATAATTTCGTGATCTGGAGGACCTCCTCGTGGATGCTTTTATAAATCCTAGTCTTTATTTGTTTGTTAAAAGCATCATAAATGTTCTCAACCAAAAGTTTTTTTTTATATGTGAAGATTTAAATTTTAGTTGTGTTTTCATCATGTGGACATCTTGTTAAGACAAAACAAATTTGAACGAACGCAAGCAACTAATCGCATGCTTTGTTGCTGCTTTTGTGGAACCTATTGTTGGTCCACAAAACGAGCGATGGTGATACATTTCATTTGAAATTGAGTACGAAATTTTACAACACAATTGTTAGAAATATTAATAATTTGGATGCTAAACAATATCTAATTAAAAATTCTCATTGTAGAAATCACAACTGTTAAAATAGTTATAATAATACTTAAAAAATTCTAAATAAAAGAAAATAAAGTGTGAATGAAATAAGATGGATGATAATAAGATGATGGAAAACTTCAAGTTGAATGCCAAACCACAGGATAATGCATCACCACGTGCTACTGAAGAAGTGGATTTAGAGGAAAAGCATAAACAATTGCGGGAATTTGCAGAAAAGTTGAGAGCTGAATACTATGAAGCTTACCGCCAAATGACTGCAGAGTTGAGGTTAGAATAGTTTTCCAAATAGCAATATTAGGATAAAAAGTGTTTTTCAGTTTGAAATAATCGGCGCCTTTTTTCGGTCGTGGGTTGTCGTAATGTGTTGTTTTGCTTATCGTATTGCACAATCCCCGGCCTGAAAATAACGCTGTGAGCCAGCAATTTTAAACGAAACTTATATGTAGTCAATATATTAATATTTGATTGTATATGTATATCATTCCGTTATGTTGTTGTTGTTTTAACGGTTATCTAATCCCCGTTGGGGTGGTAAGGGTTATTTGCTTTGTCGTCGAGGTCATCTAACGGGAGGCCCAGGGAACGAGCTGTTTCGACCGGGTCGGACCAAAGGGAGGGTGTTAGATGAGTAGGGTTTGTAGGGCATGCAAGGAGGTGGGTCAATTCTGGATAAGAGTTTCACTTGCTACAATATCGCGGCAACGGGAGCTCTTCGTCTCCGATAGGTGGTGATTTGACTCCAAGAACGTCATTCACGGGAAGGGAGTCGGTGAAGGTGTTGATGACTCCACTGTGAATGGCGGTCAGTACCTGTCGAAAGTCAGTGGCGTCCGAAGTCCGGTCGGCGTACAGTACGAAGTCGTCGACGTAGTCAGGGAAGGAACTTTTTGATCCGCTCCAAGTAGATGGTTGCAAGGATGATTCCTACGTAAACATCCTAGCAGGAACTGTTTGTAGAAGAGTTCATTATGATCCTTTACAGGAAGCATAATCGTCTTACTGTGGAGGTTTTCTATGGGAGACATCGAAAGGCATCCCGTCGTGGTCGAGAGTGCACTATTCTAGCAGGTGAAGTTTCCTCATCTACGTCGCATTTAGGCGACCATATTGGTGCTGCTTAGTTAAGGACCGTTATCGCAAGGGGCGGTCGTGGACTGAAAAGGACGGAAGATCAGGAATGTGCAAAAATAATGCTGCTGGCACATAAATGTTTTTAGAATATTCGTTTTACAAATTTGTATAAATAACACGTGATATTTCACAATGTTTAACTAAATTTTTTCACACTTTTCACTTTGTATATTGAAATTGATAAAATTTCACATTTAACATTTATCTTTTCTTTTAGGTAAAGTTATTAATTTAAAAAACAGTTACCACACTCATAGTTGAAAAGGTTAGATATGAAGGATTTTTCAACGACAGCGTTTTCATTGTTTGCACTTTCACACATTTTTTTTTAATTAACTAAAAAAAAATCTTTCCGACTTTTTCCAACTTCAAGAAATATTGAGTATGTGTACACTTTTTTCATATACATTTGTATATGAATTGATTTCTATTTAATAAACACATAATTAAATTTTATAAAAGGTATATGGTTGTATAATATTNGGTCAAATAAGCTGTGACATTGAAAATATCATTATTTTTCTTTTAAGTTGAATAAATATGAAACCTTTTGTGAATTTAGTAAAATTTAAGCACTTTGTTATTCCTTCAATAGCCACTAAAAGAACTGCGTTTTTATTTTATTGCTCTCTTTTTTAGTTAAAAAGTTATACTCATTTATTTTTGAAAATATAAAGTGGGTCAAATAAGATGTGAGCCACTGTACATACATATATGAATATATGAATAATATGTGATTTATATTTAATAAACACAGATAAGTAAAATCGTGTGATAATATTATATGTATTATTAATGTATATGATTGTAATATAAAATTTTTATATGCATTTACAATTTTATATTATAATAAAATCATWTCACAATATTATAAAAAGTTTATGTTGTATAATAATTGGGTAAATTTTAGAATAGCATCCCCGGATTTCGGAGTTAAAATAGGTATGCACGGATAGAGGAGGTCCTCCACATTAAGAAAATATAAATATATAGTTATCGCTGATTTGTAGTTTTTGAGATATTTGCATTTACAGTTCAAAAATTCAACTATTAAAAATGCGTGTTTTTTCCATTTAAAATGAATTTTATGGATATATTTTTACTTTTTATATTCACTTCTCTAAATCGTTTCTAACAATTTATTTTATATTAAATAATGCAAAAATAACTTTCATTCAACATTTAACTTTCGTACATTTAGTTTTGTTCTTACAACAACAAAAGTTTTTTTTTGCTTTTTTTAATATAAAATAAATGATTAGAAGCGAATTAGGGTAGTGTTAGTAGATATAAAAGTATAAAATATGAGTGTAAAACGCATTATAAATCGGAGAAACACGCATTTTAAATAGGTGGTTTTTTCAACTTTAAATGCAAATATCTCAAAAATCTTAAGTCAGCGGCAACTATATGTATATATATTCTTGATCTGGACAACCTCCTTTATCCATACATACCCAAGTTAACCCCGAAATCGGAGGATGCTATTCTAAATCGCAGCCCTGCTATCTCTATACACTTTATTCCGCAATATAATATTACTTATTTTTTGTTTATTAAATTTAAATAAGAAAGTATTCATATGCTTGGAAATATTGTTCTTATTTGCTTATCATATGGCAACGCCCTATTTTCTCATAATTGTTAGCACATAAATGATATCCACAACGAATGAAAAAATATTTAAAAAATATATATTTCTTACTTTAAAAAACCTGCAAAAAATTTAAAATATGAATTTGCTTAAGTGTTTGCAGTTTAATTTAACTCATTTGATGTGTAAAATGTGCGTAAAGTGCGTTAAATGATTTGAGATTACATTTCCAGCATTCCATTCCACGTGAGTTTTGCTAAAACGTAGAATTGATATGGTTTCTTGCATGCATTTTTAAAAATACTCAACAAAATTATTTCTTTAGTGAGAGAAACTTCCATACCTAATTTTATAAAATTGGCGGCAAGTCTTAGGTTTTTGGCTGAAGCTTCTTCAACGTTTAGTTGGAAAGGATATCGATATTTCTCTGGGTAGAAAAGCACAACCTCCAAAATTTTAATTTTTATAAATTTTGTGTCCGAAGTGGATTCCAGAAAAGCAAAACTTCATTTTGTGCAAAAGTTTGGAATACCAGGAGTTATATGCGGTGAAAGCATTTGTAACCCTACATATGTTTTTTTTTTAATAGAAAAGAATTTGTCAGCATAAATACGATGATTGTACGAGTAAATTATTTTACCTTCTCTATTTAGTTCTACAGCTCGAATTATTTAGAAGCAGGTTGAAGAAGTCGCACGATAGGGAGTCGCCTTGTTGTTGTTGCAACGGCAGAATTCTGCCGAGTTGACAGTCCTTGGCCGGATAAAAATCCGGGTCCGTTCCGGTTTTCGTAGACCCGACTGTCGTGGGAACGGGGGAGTCGCCTTGTCTGAAACCTCGCTTGTTATCGAACGGTTCACAGGTATTTTCCAAGGTTTGGAGCATGGTGAATATCTGGTCGGTTGTTGATTTATCAGGTCTAAAGCCACACTGAT